TGCAGTATGGGGACACTGCCCCGGGCCGGCAGGTCCCAGCACTTGAGGACCTGCTGTCGGCAGGGAGGGGTGCTCTGCCTGCCCGCCTCTGCTGCCACAGGGGGCTCTGCTAAGCAGCCTGCCTGCCCGGCCAGCTCCTGCCCTCACTGGGGATCGCTGTGCCTTCCTGCAGAGGGGTCCTGCCAGGGCTCCCCGCAGCAGGTGACAGCATTGTCTGCGGGGTGGCCAGCTTGCTGCAGCAGGAGGGGCAGGAGGTGCCAGTGGCATGCAGCATCCCAACCCTGCCTGGCCCAGGAGGGGACCAGCCAGCACTGCTGGAAGCGGTGTCGCGTACCATCTGGCTGGCATCTCCTCTGGGACTGAGCCGGCCTCCAGGACCCGCCGGTTGGGGCTGCCTGGCTCTCCCTGGGGATCCAGCTGGGCAGGAAGCAAGCTGGGGCACAGCCTCCTGCCTGGGGGTCCCTGCACCAGGGCACCGCAGGGGGGGCTGAGCTGCAGGCATGGCACTGCAGGCACAGGGCAGGAGGTAGGCAGGCTGCTGGCCAGATCCTGTTGGCTCGAGTCCGGGCGCAGTGAGCGGCCAGACCTGTCCGGCGGTGCTGCCATGGCAGGCAGGGGCGGAAGGTTGCACAAGGGGCCAGGAATAGAGCGGTGGGAGGTGATTAGAGTCTGCGGGGCCCGGCTGGGCGGCAGCAATAAATAGACAAGGCTTAGCCCCTGCCTACCTGGGCAAGGCTGCCAGGCATGCCTGCCCACGTGGAGCGGCCCCAACCAGGCCCTGCTGCTCTGATCGTGCTGCCTCGCTTGGGCCAGCCTCTTCCCTTTGCTGTGAGCGAAGCCGGGGGCACGGTGCTGGCTGGGAGTCCCACCGTGCATGATGGTCCCAGCTGTAAGGACGCACGCCCTGGCCCAGTGGCTGCAGCAGCGTGGAGACGCGGTCCCGTCCTTGTCCTTCAGGCTGGCCGTGACCGCTGCTCTGCCGCGCTCCTGGGGCAGGTGCCGCCTCCGACCTTGCTCTGTCCTGCGGTGCTGCAAATCGCTCCTGCCTGGCACCGTGACTGCTGAATCGGCAGTGCTGGCTGCAGCCGGCTGCCCTCACTCCTCTGGGGATGCGGGTGCAGGCAGGATGCTGTCCATCAGGGATGCTCAGTGTCCAGCCCCCGGGTAGCTGAGCTCTTGTGCCCCATGGGGACTCCCGGGGTGGGTGCCACATGTTGCGTCCAGCTCTGGGTCGGGTGCTTGCTGGGAAAGTAGGTGCTGTGCTGGCTCCAGTGGTCTTGGACAGGGTGGGACAGGACTGGTACAAAAAAAAGATCATGTAGCATGCTTGTCCAGGAAAAGCCACCTGGGGGACATGGCTCAGCCCACAACTGGTGGTGGTGGCTGTCCCCAGCAGCTGGGGTGCGTGGCATTACCTTGCCTGGCAGGTCGCTGTGCGGGCACAGGCATCCTTCCTGCCTGGCTGGGGCTCCACATCCCTCATGTCCGTCCCTGCAGGAAGGGTGCTGGCTGGCTGCCCTGGGGAGGAGGGGAGGCAGGAAGGAGCTGTTGTCACTCATTGTCCCCTGCTCAGCTGGGAGTGAAAACAGCTCCTTCCTGCCCCACGCTTCAGGATGGGGCTGTTCCCATGGGGCCACAGCCTGGTGTAGGGAGGGCAGGGTGGTGTAGGGCTGGCACGGGGGTGGCTGAGACCCCTGCTGCTGTGCCCTGGGCAGTGTCGGCTGCTGGGGGTTCCTGGGGATGTGGTTGGGGGCTGTTTCATGGAGAGCCTGCTCAGTTTAGTCCATTGCTGGGGCTGCTGCAGGCTGGCAGCCCCCCACCCCGGAGATGCCCTTTGCCCCCCTGGTGCCCTGGATGCTGTGTGCCTGCCGTCTTGCCTGGAGCTGGTCCCTGCCACCCTGGGGTGGGCAGAGAGGATGGAGAAGTCTTGCCACCCCCGCCAGGGCTGCGGCTCAGCCCCCGTAATCCCCTTCCTGCTCTGACTCACCAGCTTATTTCCTGGCTAATTCCCCAAGCTATAAATACTGCTCTGCCTCAAAGGGCCCCAAGGCCCCGTGAGTCGGGGGCTGGTCCCCCTAGCATGGGGACAAGAGCCCGTGTCCCTCCTGGGGGCAAAGGATGTTGCTTGTGGGGGTGGCTGCTATGGGGCCAATGGGACCTTGGGCAGGGCTAGCTTTAGCCAAGTTCCCCCTGACTGTGTTGGGGACTGTCCTGTGCTGGGCAGGGCAGTCCCTTGGACACTGTTGTGCATGGTGTGAGGGGTCCCCGGGAGCCCATGGGGATGGGGAGGTGGGGGGCTTGGGGCCCAAGGGGGAGCCCCATCTCTTGGCTGAGCACCCCCCCCTCCCCAGGCCGCAATGAGCCCCTGAAGAAGGAGCGTCCCAAGTGGAAGAGCGACTACCCCATGACGGATGGGCAGCTGCGCAGCAAGCGGGACGAGTTTTGGGACACGGCTCCCGCCTTCGAGGGCCGCAAGGAGATCTGGGATGCTCTGAAGGCAGCTGCCTATGCCGTGGAGGCCAATGACCACAGCCTGGCCCAGGCCATCCTTGATGGAGCCAGCATCACCCTACCCCATGGTGAGGGACGGCACCGGGGGTGTGGGTAGGGTGGGTGCTGAGTGCCCCACGTCCAAGCACATCAGGGTGCTGGGTTGGAGAGGAGAGGGGTTCCCAGCTGCCATCCACGCAGCTCAGCCCAGCCAAGGGGGGCAAGATGGGCTCTGCCCCACTGCCTGGGGTGGCCCCATCCCCATTTGGGGGGTCCATGGGGATGCTCACCCACAGCATCTCACCCTGCCGTCCCCAGGGTCTCTGACGGAGTGCTATGACGAGCTGGGCAACCGGTACCAGCTGCCTGTCTACTGCCTGGCACCTCCTGTCAACTTGATCCTGGAGCGGAGTGAGGAGGAGCCAGTGGAGCCGGCCGAGCCCCTGCCCAACACCCGGCGGGAGTTCGCCCTCAAGGTGCGGCTCTCCACCGGCAAGGACCTGCGTCTCAGCGCCAGCATGGGTGACACAATTGGGCAGCTGAAGAAGCAGCTGCAGGCACAGGAGGGCATCGACCTGGCCTGGCAGCGCTGGTTCTTCTCGGGCAAGCTGCTCACTGACCGCACGCGGCTGCAGGAGACCAAGATCCAGAAGGATTTTGTTGTGCAAGTGATCATCAACCAGCCCCTGCCGCCCAGGACCTGAGCCCCCCCCCACTGGTTGTGGGGAGAGGGCAGGGGGCTGGGGGGCAGTGGCACCTCTGGGGATGCACCAGGCCATGTCCCAGCCCTGCCGGAGCAGGGGCACAGGAAGTGCTGCGTGGGGCTGTGCTGCTACAGTGGCCCCTCTCGGCTGGGGACATCGGCACATGCTGTGTTTGCTGCAGGAGGTTCGAGATCAAATGTCTCTGGGGGGGTCGGCACGGCCGGGGCCTGGCTCTGGGCTGTGGCTGGCGGGGAGAGGACGCGAAGCCTT